CGCAGCTCGACTCATCATCGACACGCTGCACGAAGAGACTTGTATGAGAAGAGCTTTGATTTTGGGCAACGTTAATACGTCTATGAAGGATGTTTTATTAGCAACGGAGCCCGATGAATTTCTTTTTGGTGGAAATCTACCAGAGCTTCTGAAACAGGCACAAGCCACAAATAAGGATGTACAGGTGCTGGCCAAGAAACCCGCACCTTCTGTAAACAAGTCAAAAAACTTCAAAGGCCCGCAGCGTCAGCAAAGCAGATCGCAGACGACATCATCGAGCGGGCCGCAGACGAGATCTGCAACGACGACGTCGAAACAACAGGAGTCGAGACACAAGAGCGATCATCAGAAAGCTCGTTACGATCAGAACAAGTCCTCGAAAAAATACTATCAGAAGAAATGATAGAATTGCCAGTAAGTAAAATCGCCGGCAGGTTGTCGCACTTTGTTAAAAATTGGAAACTGTTGACCTCCAATCACGTGATACTTTCATGGTTGAGAGGATTTAAAATTCAATTTACATCGCATCCTATTCAGATGGTTTTTAAACAGACATCATTCTCAACGGAAGAAAGGCCTATTGTTTCCTCGTTGATTGACGATTTGATTCTCAAAGGAGCAATAAGAGAATGTTTGCCGGTCAAAGGTCAATTTTTATCGAATATTTTCACTGTGCCCAAACCAGATGGCACGTTCAGGTTAATATTGAATGTAAAAGCGTTAAACGAATTTATAAATGTTACGCACTTTAAAATGGAAAATTATAAAATTGCTATGAATTTAATGGAGCAGGGTTGTTTCATGTCAAAAATTGACTTGAAAGATGCGTATTACACGCTGCCAATTCACGATTCGCAAACAAAATTTTTACGTTTCAAATTTAACAATCGGCTCTACGAGTTCGTTTGTTTGGCATTCGGTTTAAACGTGGCTCCTTTAACCTTTACTAAGCTATTGAAACCAGCAGTTACATTCTTACGAGAATTGGGCGTCACATTGGTTATTTACCTGGACGATATTTTAATTTTTGGGAAAAATTATTCAGAATGTGCTAAAAATTACTTATGGACAAGCAAAACCTTGCGATTTCTAGGATTCGTTCTACACGATAAGAAATGTAAGCCTATCCCGGAACAGAAATGTATATTTTTGGGCTTTTTATTCGACTCGATTCGTATGGTAATGGAATTGCCTGAAAATAGGAAGATTCATATGAAAAAATTGATCGAAAGCTTCAGTAAGAAAGAGCGTTGTACGATACGTGAATTTGCCCAATTTACAGGTTCAATCGTTGCCTGTTGTCCAGCTATTGACTACAGCTGGTTATATACAAAAGAATTAGAGCAGATAAAATTAGCGGAATTGTGTAAATCCAACGGTAATTATGATTCTTCCATGTCGCTGAAAGGCATTGACTTACGGGCAGATTTATGGATTTCAAAAATTTTGAACGGTTATAGAAAAATTCGTTTTCAACAATACGATCGAGTCATATTTTCTGACGCGTCCTTGTCCGGTTGGGGTGCGTTCTGCAATAATAAACGCTGTAACGGATTTTGGACGCAAGCTGAACGTTGTTACAGCATAAACTATTTAGAAATCAAAGCAGCTTGGTTCGGGCTGAAATGCTTCGCGGACGAGATGCGTGATGTAAATATTTTATTACGTATCGATAACTCCACTGCTATAGCATACATTAATCGTATGGGAGGTACCCGTTACGATTATCTTAACGAACTCACACAAGAATTGTGGGAATGGTGTGAGGTCCGTGGCATTTATGTTTTCGCTTCGTACATTAAGTCAAAAGAGAATATAGAGGCTGACGAGGAATCGCGTAAGACGGAGACAGAGAACGAATACGAACTATCTGATGAAGCTTTCAGCCAGATAGTCGAATCGTTCGGTTTACCGGATGTAGACCTGTTCGCGAGCAGATCAAATAAAAAATGCGAACGTTTCATCTCCTGGAAAAGAGACCCCGAGGCAGAGGCAATCGACGCATTTACTTTGTCGTGGCATGACATTCGCTTCTACGCATTTCCTCCGTTCAGTGTAATTTTAAAAGTTCTTCGAAAAATCAGGCAAGACAAAGCTCTTGGCATTGTCATAGTTCCGTATTGGAGGGGTCAACCTTGGTTTCCAATTTTTCAATCACTTGCGATTTCGAATTTTATATATTTTTCACCAAGTAAAGAACTTTTAACATCTTCCAACAGAACGCCACATGCACTCTGGGAGTCGCTTACCCTGGTGGCAGCTCTATTATCCGGCAAGCGTTAAGTAAGCAAGGAGTTCCCGACGAAGCAATTGAAACTAGCATGGCATCTATTGGAGTTTCAACTATAAAGTCGTACGACGCTGCATTAAAGAAGTGGTGGATATTTGTTCATCAAATCAAGGGAGATGTCTATGAACCAACAACGAAACAGATTATGGAATTCCTTCAACAGCAATTCGATCGAGGGTTGTCCCATAGCTCATTAAACATCATGAGATCGGCCATATCCCTCATTATCAATTCCGACATCGGCAATGATAAAAGCTTGAAGCGCTTCTTTTCCGGCATCGCGAAGCTCCGACCATCGCTTCCAAAATACAATACTACCTGGGATCCGAAAGTCATTATAGACTTTTACAGTGGCAAGCCGGCTAATGACTCGCTTACATTTAAGGATTTATCATATAAGTTGATTACTTTATTAGCTATTACTACTGGTCATCGGCTACAGACACTTTCACTCATTAAAGTGCAAAATATTAAATTTTATGAAAATAAAATAGAAATACTCATTCCTGACTGGATAAAAACAACGAGAAAAAATGTCTGTCAGCCGGTACTAATTTTACCTGTTTATCCTCCGAACGATAAAATTTGTCCGGCAACTACTCTCAAACATTACCTAGAAAGAACTAAAAGTATAAGAGGCTCGATCGATTTATTATTTTTGTCAATCAATAAGCCAGTTAAGGCTGTATGTAAACAGTCTCTTAGTAGCTGGGTGAAACAAACTCTTACAGATTGTAATGTTGACACTTCCACCTTTTCAGCTCATAGCACACGCCATGCTGCAAACTCAGCTGCTAAGAGACTGGGTGTGAACATAGATTCAATTTTACAAACTGCTGGGTGGTCAAATGTTGCCACATTCGCGAAATTTTATGATCGGCCAGTAATTAATGATAATTCGGAGTTCGCACTTTCAATTCTTAATAATTAAAATAACTAATAAATAAGATATTCTCATTTTATTGAATTTATCGTATTGAATGTAATACGCGAGAGAATAAATGTTTATTTGCATCTACTTTGATTGCCGTAGATTCCGTCTTTGAACATCTACATTTTGATCTTTTGGAGGAGGCGCGAAATACAATTGAACAATCGAACGAACTCCAAGAGTGAAGTTCGATTACGATTGTATGAGCGCCTCCTCCAAAAGATCAAGGTCCCACCCAATACTTACCCTTATTCATTGGAATAAGCCCCCTTTGAATCTACGGCTCATCTTTGGTATAATGACGAAATCCCACAGTCACCGCAGCGCGCCACCAGCGGCACCGCGAGCGGACGTTGGGATTCTTTACTTTTCATGTCTTTGTAAGTGTGGTCTAAAGTCACGAGAGGGAGTACTACATTTTGATCTTTTGGAGGAGGCGCTCATACAATCGTAATCGAACTTCACTCTTGGAGTTCGTTCGATTGTTCAATTGTTCGAATTTATGCAACATATTTTTCATATCTAACAAATTTATCCGTTGGCCAAAAAATATAGCCATGACACAACAGTGACAATTTTTAGCAATAAGCCGATACTGAATTTTTATTTTAGGTACTTTTACGTGAAATTGTTGTTGAAAATTAGTATAGTAGTATTAACTTTTTTCTACATTAATTGTACATACATTAATAAACGAATGACATTCAAAAATTTACATACACAATTATTTATGTAATCATAAACGAGTAACATCTTATTTAGTCCTAACTAGACCCAGTCTGCACCGCTAGATGGCGAGTACATTCGTCTATAAATCTGCAAGTGGCAAAGTAAAAATAACTGTATAAATCAAGGCGCGGTTTTGGAAAAATTAGACAGTTGTTGAATGATGTTTCAGAATATCAATAACATAAACGTATTAATAGTCAACGCAGGGTCGAACTTTTTGAAATACACTTGATATACTTGACAAGCTGGAACATTACAAAAACAATCCATAAATTTAAATTGAAAATTTTGTTATATGATCTATACATGGACGCCAGTACATGAGTGAACGAGTTCCATATTATACTGTGTATAGACGAGCGATACCGCTCTCGGCACGCACGCCTACACGCATTGACGCCACGCGTACGCTCAAAAGGAGGTATGGCGCCACCGCTGCACACATGCACACGTGAGTTCGATTTAATTAAGTTTTGCTTCGCGCTTATATACACATATGACACTTAAAAGTTTATACGTTTACATTGATATTACGATCAGAGAAGTGCCGTTGCAAGACCTCGACACCGTGTACGTATATACACACCATATTATACGGTGGAGATACGGAATCGGTTAGATGGAAAGAGAGGTCGACTTGCCTGCGCATCACGTCAAAGTTATTATTTCCATATATGGAGCTCGTGCGGCAATATAGATTCGTTATGCGCGCGTGTGCCCCGAACGTTTTCGACCAAAGGTGGACGTCCACACGCGGCGAAGAAGAGAGCAGAGGAGAGTTTGAAAGATTAATTTTCAGAAAAGGCTGGCGCGCGCCGCAAGCGCACACACATACACACGAATTCGTCGGGAACCAAGTTAATTAACCATATATGATGGAAAGTTTCAATGGTAGGTACTCTGGGTATGTGTAACCTATACGAGCCGCCACAGAGCTGCACTCCGAGAGCTGTTCCTTTATATTCGAAGTCGGATTCGTGTAGACGTACGTATATTTATGCCACGTGAGGATTGAACAAATAATGTTTGTGTATAGGTAGATGTACTTACCCTCGATCACAGGATGACGTGGTTTATATGACATATCTGCAAAAGAAAAAACAAATCGGAGCATTATTATTGGCACAAATCACTGGGACTCGAGGAGGGTATAAAAAAAAATAAACGAGGCTTATATAATACTCGACGACGAGGTGCTTTTTTATATTCTATACTTTTCTCGTTTTCGCCCCATCATTATTCACCGTCGTATCTGTCATAGTCCCAGAGATGGAGAAAAAATATGATGCGGTACGTAATACGCATAGTTAGGAAAACGCTTATGAGCTATGAAGGAAGCAAGTAAAAATCATATATACGAAGAGTATATGTAAGGGATGCAACTGCGGCAACTTTTAATTATCCGTCCTCATCCTTTTCCCCCTACCCACCTCCTGCCCCCATCCTTCCATCCCACCGTTCGTTCTCCAGTTCCCACTTTGAAATCCATTAATGAAGAAGCCTCGCGACCCCACGGCATGTCACGATGATGCTGCACCGCCGCTGCTGCTGCTCGCGCTCGTCGTCGGAAAATAATTAGAAGTTTCCAACAAAGCGCAACTTTGACTCTACCCCGTACAGACCTCCGCTCTATACGCACACACATCCATTCACCTTGGCTTTATCGGTGACTGTGCACGAGTGAATGTGTATCCTAGTTTTCTGTGTGGGTATGCATAATACATAACGATAGGGAAATTCAAGAGGAGAGACTCGTCGTCGTCGTCGTCTTGTCTCTCACGTCGAATATTTGTTATATCCTGCTCTGACGTACACCGCGTTGTCTATATATTACACCCCGTTCCCTATTCCACTTCAAATTTGACGCGAATAATAGGAAGTGCCGAAATTTTACGTGATGTGGTTTTCAAGATGACGCATATAAGCTATGTGAAGCGACATCGATTTTTTTCCGGTCGATCGAGACAGCTGCTGCTGCTGTCTGGCCACATCGTTGTGCTTTACTACTTAAAATTTAATGACTCATACGCGCGGGCCGTATAATATAGGTGCAGATATGGGGAGTGCACACGTATTATCCATACACGCGGTGTGGTAATCGTAACAAGCACGCATTACGCAGTTTGGAATGCGCCGATCTGCCGGAATATATATCAGGCAGCTCTCGATTATGTATTACCATAAAATCAAACGTGCGTATCGTGCACCACAGGGGTTGTACACAGATGTTGGAATTTGTTCGCGATGAAAATCCATCGGTTATAAGCGATCTCTCTCTCTCTTTCTCTGCGCTCACCCGCCCTTTCGTGACCGCGAGACAAGAGCTAAAATAGCTCGCTCGTTTTGTATATGTAGCGAGAGATAAAATCCGACGCGCGAGTCTCGGTTTGGGCCTCGGTCGTATATCGAATTCCGGGCGCAAAATCAACGATGTACGCAAGAAGTTCGGATCGTGAAATTTATTCCCTAACATACCACCCAGGTACTATGAGAAAGATATACACGGTATATAGAAAATCGCCCTGAGGTACATTATGATAAACAGTCGAAGAAACAGAACATTCCACGTGCCGTGTACGGTGCCGAAGATACAATCGGAAAAGTTCCCAAACAAAAAAAAATATATAAAATAAAATAAAAGAAATCTGCGCGCGGGCAAAAAAAGCCAGGGGGCACCAGCGTGGCGTGGGTGCGCGCATGAAGGGTTGTGGTGTGTGGAGAGAGTATGAGTATATCTATATATACGTACGTATATACCTGCACACACATAAAAAGAAGCGCGCGCGAAGTGGGGTATAGGGTTGGTGCTGCAGAAGGCACTTCGGGCGCCCCGCGCTCGACTGTTTGCGATTGATTTTCTCGATATTTCAAAGAGTGCCTGCGAGCAAAACTTTGGATCATCCGTCGGGCGAAAAATGAGGAAACTTTTGCCTTGGCGCTACCGAGATTCGTGCGCGATCACGTCCCTCTCTCGCACACGTAAAAAAAAGAAGAGGAAGAAGAAGGAAGGAAGGTTTCTCTCTTACTTGAAAGTTCAGATTTCGCGAGTTAGCCCACGCGTGCACACGAGTCTAGAGAGTGTGTGCTAATGTGTGCGCGTGGCCTTTTAGAGAAAAAATAAAATAAATAATGTAGACAGATTTCATTTCCGCTTTTCTTTATTGGGAATCGAGAGTTCTTAAGTGCGGATGAAGGATGCATTATTTTGTTTACGCTATTAGTCGTTACTGCAGCAACAGCAGCGGTACATCGGGATTTTGAAAAGGATTTCCTCTTTCCGCTTCAAGCTAATGCGGTTATAATTGACACGCGACGTAACGGATTGACAAATTTTTGCATTTTCTACATTATATAATACGCGATAATCCATTGTGCATTAATAATCCACGCACCGTACCTGCGGTGAGAAAGTCTAATTCGCAATTCTGAAGCTCGAGTGCGGCCGTATTATACAAAAGCAAAAGAGAAAAAAACAAAAAAAAAAAAAACCAACAGATCACAAGTGCGTGCCACAGCCAAATAATATTTCGCGATCTTTATTTGAAGCACGCGAGGCTCTCTTTTAATACCGTGCACTCGGTGGTTATGTACGTATACATGCGAACACTTGCATGTGTGTAGCTTGAGCTCAAGCTCTTAGGGGAGAGAGGTAGGTAGTAGTTATAACAGCAAAAGTCGATAATTTATTTCCAGAGCGTGCTCAAGAGGGTCATTCAATATCAAAATCGCGTGCGTGCATATGCATGATAATCAAATGAATATGCATTATATTATACATCAAACGTGCGGAATAATAACAATAATGAAGTGTTGCTATAGTCGCCGCCGCTGAGCAGTGTTATACCAAGTCGCCCTCCCGTTATAGCTTGAAGGGCTCCCTCCCCGTCCGACGCAATCGCGAAAGATGCGAGTGAGATTTTTCACCCATAATGCATCACTTTGTCGATATTGCACAAGAGCTGGAGAAACGGAAAAAAGGGAGAGAGAGAGAGCGAAAAAGACGTGAAACACGTGCCCAACGCTCGGAATCCTCTTTAATTTACAGATTTCATTTCACAGACGATTTGATTTTCCTCGGAATTGATACCGCTGCCCGCATGAGTACGTGGCTGACTATCAAAATTACGTCGGCACGGGGTAGGGCTATTTGTTTTCCGCAAGAGAATCTTAAACTTTGAGATATTCAATATTATATGCGGGATTCGCAAGCGAGGCTATATAAGAGATAAGGAGAAGTTATTTGATTGATTATGCACTGAGAGAGGGTTGGGGGTTCGGAATATTTTAAGTATCGGTATTTCATTTCGTCGCTGTGGGTGTGTGTGTGTGTAAAACTTAGCGTCCATTATATCAACAAATTGCTTTGGCAAGATTCCTGCGTCGAAATGTAAAATACAGTACCGAAAGAAAACGCTTTGAATGAATTATGAATTTTTTCCCCTCATCTTTGCATAGCATTGTCTGCGGAGTGCCGGTGAATCTCATTTCCAGAATAACGGAAATAATATTTAGCAACAATTTTACAACTCGCGCGGCGGAAGTTTCGTTCAGTCAAATTGAACCCTTACGAACGTTGAAACAATTTGCTTTTCAATTTGAAAGGAAATCCCTTGAAATTTCTTCTTTTTTTTTAAGTACGGATTTTTTTGTTAAATTTAACAATGAAAAATGGAAAAAGCGTAACAATTGTAATTTGCTCCAGTGCGAATGAATTTCTATTTTTATCATTTTAAAATGTTATGTCTGCTACTTCAATGAATTTGACATTAATCAAAAATTAATTCCGTCAGTAATATTTCGAATAAGTAAATTGAACATATAACAGGAAAAAATATTTTGAAATTATCATAATTATAATTTAATTATTATAATTCAAATTTATCGTATAAAGTATGTACTAGATGTCAAAGGTAAAAAGCATCTGAAAATTTCTTTTTAGCCAATATAGTGAATTAAATTTTCAATCAAACTTGGAAGGAATTTTTCCATTCCGTACTATTGATGCAAAAGAGCAAAAACGGATAGTCACGAGTGTGCATGAAAGGCAAAAATTCAAGTGGCATTTCAAATCACGAGGAAAATTTCGAAAAATGTTTTACGTAGTTGAACGTAATATTCTTACACTACGGGCGAGGTAATCAAGTATACTTTTAATTAGCAGTTTAAAATTAAAATAAGATTTCATGGCAAAAAAAAATTTTTAATACCTTTGAAAATAAATTGGTTGAATATTTTCATGAAAAATTCCACCAAAAAATAATGTCAAAGTAAAATATTTAAAGATTTTAATATATATCTACTTATTTGCGCAAGCGATGGTGTATTTGTATAGATTTAAAATGCATAAGAGAGAAACGAGACGGAGCAAAAGAAGCGAACAACATGAAAGAACATTCATCATTTTTATTTCTGAAAAAGTAGTAGGAGCTGCGGAAGAATCAAGTCTCTTGCACACGCTACACAATATACAGTATTTATGAACTGAAAGCGAAAGCGTAGGAAAAGCACATGACACATGAGACTTAACTCTGCATACATGCGTACATATAACAGAAATTTTCGCTTGTTTTTTTCAGTTCTTTTTCCTCGCCTCACAACTTCGTGCTCCGAACGCGAAGAGAGAAGTCAGAACCAATAACTCGTATCGACACTCACTAACAAGGCGTTGAACACGCGCCCATACAGCTCGGTGTCTGAATTTAACAGATCTTACATCTTCCTTTGCCAGATATGACAAATGGGCGAAAGAAAAATTTAAGCCGGGGGAACGCGGCAGCGCAGGAAAACTCCATCAGTCGGGGTGCCTAGCTCGCGAAATGAATAATGTAAAAACATTTCCCTGGCGCTTAAAAAAAGCAAAAGCGGCTAATGAAACGATAAGAGAAAACTCGCTCGAAGCCGAAGCAGACACCTCTACGCGCGGGTGTCTCTCTCGCTCTCTCTCTCTCACTGGCAAAATATATATCTCTCCTTGCACAACAAAGACTCCGAATGGAAAAGTATAAAGAAATCCTAGCCGTATAATACGTCAAGTAGCCCCGAGGCTACTTTTTTTCGCTTTCTCTCTCTCCCTCTTTCTACTTCTGACAGGAAATTGGATCTCGAGGTAATGACTGAATTACGCGAAGACGGCGCGTCTCTAAGCCCATCGCCTTGTGCTTTCTCGCTGCTCGACTCCGTATACGGCCTCGCGCGCCCGTTCGGGTACCTACTACCGCTATATATAAGATACAAACGCCCGTGCCGCATCCTCTACCCTCTCGTTCCTTGGCAATTTGTTGCGCGTGCAAACGTTTAAAGTATCCTAAGACAACTATATTGCTTGTGTGAAATTGCCCGCAGCGAAACATTCGAATAAAACTAAAAGCCGCTTCTCGCTCGCTCGTCGTACCTTACGCCTGGTGTGCTACGGAGTATAAGGCCGTAATTAAAAGGTGCGAGTATTTTTCTTAAAAGAATGAACCCTTCAAGTGGAGGGTCGAAACTCAAACGCGCGCAATGTTGATTTAAACTTGGATAAATTACGAGTGGATTTTATTTTAGCTCTTGTTGCCGAGAAAGAGAGAGAGCGAGCTTAAACGTAATAGAAAAGAAATAATGAAACGAACGCTATTATTGGATCAAGAGAGAGAAAAAGTAGGGAGTAGAAACGGGCGGAAGTCCAAAAGAAACATTTAATTGTTTTATATACATAAAAAAGAAGAACAATGCAAGACATTTGTAAATATAGTCAAGCAAGCATGAAAATCCACTTTGCTCGCTAAAATAGAGGAGATTTTATGTGCCCAGTAAACGTGGCTACTTTTCTAAATTTTTCCAACTTGTTCAATTTTTGCTTTTCATTTTTGTTTCGCTAAAAAATAATATTTTTAATACAATATCTCGGCTGGTTATTTTCTTGCAATACACTTTTTCGATCACGTACTTCATAAGCTATCCATTTCTCAAGCTACGATAATATATATTTGAAAAATGCAATTTCCATGATAATTTGCCATCGATGCCTATTTTTTTCTCTTCTCTCTGCTCTAAGCTAGTTACATGCTCGATCAGCATGAATAAATCATTACACGTGTATTATACATGTATATTCGCGTTTCGGAATCTATCTTGAACAATGCTACGTTACTTATCCCTCCTTAAATAGATTGTATTTTTCATGGCGTTTTTTTATAGAAAAGCCCTGAGTAAGGAACAATACCGTGACTGATTTTCGTCGGATCGTTCGAGCGAAAAGACATGACCTGAAAATAAAGCAAATTGCGCATATAAAGCAATAGCCCAGTTTCTCCGGAGAAAAGAGAAAAGTAAAAAAAAAAAGGGAAAAGTAAAGAAAAAGGAAGGGTCGAATTCTCGAAGGTATAAACGCGCGTGGGTGGCAATCGCGAGGATAGTGCGCGCGCGCAAGTCGTTTGACTTGTATGAGGCAAATAAAGCCGAAGGGAAAGAGAAAATACGCGAGTGACAGAGGTAATCCGATCTGTGCGACTTTCGACCGATGTCTCTCCGACCCTTGAGTTTTTTCTCTTTTTTCCATCCCTCGCCCATGCTTTAGCCCACGTTTTTAGCGTGTGCGGCTTTGTACACGCTCGTTCGTTCGTTCGTTGAGTATATTGTTGAGGAAGATTTATGCGATTAGTAATCGAATTTTCATGCGCTTGTTCACAGACACAAGCACACACGTGACGTGCACAATTTAAATGCGTGTTTGTGTGTGTGTGCAGTGCTCTCAATAGTTAACGCTTGCGCGAGCGTGAAAGAAGTTTTAAGCTGCGGCGGGTCTTTTGGCAAACAGTTTGTCGTGTAATAGATTTTTCTACTTGAATAGTCGTGTGGGGTGCAACGAAAAACTTGAGAATAAAAGGAGAGTCTTCGCAAATTTGCAGGGTGTTCTTTTTTGTTGTTGTTGTTATTGTTGAGTCTCTGAACTTTTTGAATTCTTCTCTCAGACTTTGAGAAAACATGCGCAACGCGTAGGACGGTATACAGAAAAATTGTGATCTCATGCAACGAGGTAAAAGACACGCACACATTTTTTCTCGACATTATTTGCGGCCCTTTCAGAAAATACAGCAGCAGTAGCAGCAGGAGCCTCCGGAATATTCCAAAATATCCCGAATTTCTTGCATTACGTATGCAGGATGTATCTCTCGTGTCTTATCTCTCTATCCATTTGTCCGTAAATATTTCTTTTTCTCCCCCCTCATCAGTGATCCGACTATACGCCCAACCCTCGGCTAGTTTTCTTTAACCCTCCTGTCTTTTTTTCCTCTCTCTCTCTCACTCTCTACGCAATTCGACGCATTGTAATTCCGTCCGACCAGTTTCACTAGTGGCGTGCGCGCGCGCTCTGGAGTCTCTACGTGCCATGCATGTCAAATTCGGCACATAAAACTGCTGCCACGCCGCTGCTACTGGGGAGACAGTTATACGTATAGCTGTGAGCGAGCGTGCGCGCGCGCCTTGGCTAACGTATCACCAGCACGTGTCAGTTTCGCACCGTTGCTATTGGCATTATTGCAGCCAGAGCCAGAACTAGAGCCGAGCCAGCCAGGAGTCGAGCCTCAGGACTGTCGTAAATATTCGCGCCAAAGAGAGCAGAGAGAGAGAAGAGAAAGAGCGGGAGTTGTGCCGTGATTAAAGGCCAGAGTATTAGATGCGACTCCGATGGCTGAGCTGTGTATATGTATATGGGGAAGGGCCTTTTATTACGATATCGATTCCGAAGTGTTTCGCTGCTTGAGGGATAATTAATAACCAGTAGGTGAATACTTACAATTAAAGTACAAGAGAATGCCGGCGACGAGGACGAATATGACGATCAGCAGGACCAACATCAGCAGCAGTATCGTCGGCCTGCACCAGGGACTGCCCATCGACGTCGTCATGGCCTCCTTCACGGGCCTCTTCTGTTCCATCACAACACTCGACTCGCCACTAGCGTTCACCATAACACCTTTGAACTGCGCCTGATTGTTCTGTGTCTTCTTCTCGGAGGCCAGGAAGCCGTGATCGTCGTCCGCCGCGGCCGACGCCCCGTCACCGGCGCCACTCGACGCCGCGTAAACACCGTAGGCCTCGAAATTGTTCTTCCTGTAGCCGTTCATTTTCTCGTGATGCTGCGCGTCGTCCGTGGCGTCTTTGCCGCGCGTCGACGAGCCGTAACCCGAGGCGGTCCCTCCGGCCTCGTGATCGTAGGGCTTGGAGGCGCCGTCGCCACCCGAGTACCTCGGCGACAGATCGTACTTGGCTCGCTCGTAGCTCTTGGACGTAGTGAGCTCGTACTTGACGCCCTCGTAGACCTTGGCGCGGCCCGTGGTCTCGTAGCCTCGATCGGCGCCTATCGTCGTGGGCCCGCGACGATGCGCCTCGTAGTCGCCGGCACCGGCGGCGGCACCCGCGGCCTCGTACCTGGGCAGGGTGCCGTACATCTTGGCACCGCCGCCGCCGTGGTACTTGCCGCCACTGTCGTAAGCCGCGGCTGCCGCTCGATGAAGCATCTCGGCCTGCTGCTGAGCCGCGGCCAAATCGTACGCCTGATGATCGTGATTGGTCTTGATTCCTCCGGAATCGTAGCCATTGTGCGTGCTGCTGACGTCGCTGTAAGTCACCCTCGCGCTGGCCTTCTTCGGCTCGAGTTTCAGCGTCTCCTCGGCGTAGCGAGCGAACTCGTAGTCATTGAGCTCCCTCGAGTATCGTCTCGTGGGGTCTTGCGACGGATCGGTCGCGCCCCCGTACGACCGGACGGGATCGTAGGGCGCGTCGAGATCCGACTCGGCGTAGCCTCGCTCGCGCTCGAATCTCGGTCCGTTGCTGCCCACCGCGTCGTCGCGGTGGCCATACATCCGAGCCGTGGCCCCGGGGTCGCCACCGTAGCGACCACCGTCGTCGAAGCCGACGGTGTTCTTACGATCGTAGGTGCCCATCCTCGACACGGGATGATAGCCGCGGTCGAGATAGCCGCTCTCGGCGACGCCATAATTGAGAGAGGACGACGGCACGATCTCCTGATGATAGATGGTCTTGGCCGAGGAGAGGCCCGCGGCCGCGTCGTAATCCACGAGGTAGCGGGACGACCTGCGCTCGCTGCTACCATAGTCCATTGAGCCCTCGACTACGTTCGGTAGCTTGCTGTTTAAATTCTCGCCTATTAGGGCCGGACGATGATACTGATAGTTGCCGGAGGAGTGTCCTTCGTTGTTGATTGCCCCTTGCTGCTGCTGATGCTGCTGCTGGCCGTTATACAGGGGGGCCTCGGCATGCTCGACGACGAGGCTCGGTAGACGATTGTTGGAAGCACTGCTGCCGCTCAACAACGAGCTGTCTGGAGTGTTCTGCGTCAGGTCCAGTCGCAGGCCGGCGTTGTTCTGGCGGTGCATAGTTCACTATTGAGCATGATTGTCGAATTGTCGATTGGTTTCGCGCTGACACACACACACACACACTTTCGACGCACTTTTTTTGTTTTTTTAATCAATTACTATAACGGCGAAGACTAAAATTTTCGTTGAGTATCGTTATTTTTTTTCTTGTTCTCGAAGAAGGAAGACAGTTCTCTTGGATATGTTAGTATTCGTTATCTTAGTTGTTAGTCGGTTAGAAGACGATAAAATTAGTAGAAGACCTTGGTCGGAGGAGGAGTAATGATTCTGTAAGCAAGAAAAGAGATAGGAAGCTGTTAGTGCAATGTTAACGGAAAATTAGTCATTGTTAAAAGTTATAAGAGCTCGTTATGTGAAATATGTTAGAAATGGCCCAAGGGCTCGTTTGCGCGCAAAATCCTTATGGTTACATCGCCGCCACGGCATAAAAAGGTTCATCAGCATCAGAGCATCGTAACTGATTAAAATTACAAGGGACTTTCTGTAACTTTCGGCCCCTTTCCGCGAGCAGCGACGGCGGCGGCGTCAAAATGTTATGATATACTTTCGCAAGTGTTGTACTTCACGGAAGGAAAATTTTTGAAAGCGATTTTCCATTAGCCAGGGTGAGTTATTATCCTTCTCTCTCTCGCTCTCTATCGCAAAACGTGTAAGAAGTTTTCGTAAAACATTAGAGAGAGGCCATCCCTGCCGCTAAGCAAAAGTGCCATTATACACGCCGCCGCCTTCCTTTTTCGACGCGCCATTTAAAAATTTCTCGCATAAATCAACGAATATGGCAAATGTATTAGTAACTTTGAGCCCGAGAAAAATTCATAATGCATTACATATTTTTTTTCATAAATTTTCCTTGTGTTAAAAAAAAAGGTGCAAAAAGGTGCAGCCTTTTTATAACGACGAAACGATATAATACATCTGCAAATTATTATTCTAGCCTTTGAGCATGGACTGCGCTGTGGGTATATAGCGCAGCGAACACGCGTCGGTTGTATAGAGCATATAAACATCTTGGATAAGTGTACGGGGCAAGGACTTAGTAGACTGTACAGAAACGACAATGATTATTGTAAGAATAGCTTATATACACGTACACTCACACCCACCCACCGACACACACGCATATGCGAACACGAATATATACATAGAAGTATATATAGTTACTCCGCATGAGTGTTCAAAGGAGATTGCTGTTCCACATGCAAATACAATTAGTTCCGGAGAGTAACTTCATTTGCGTACATTATAAGGGATGGCTCGTCGAGACTCGTTGGCAATTTATGCAAAACTGCGTGCGTAGAGAGAGAGAGGAAAGACCGATTGAGGAGTACACGTATAGTTGCGAGGTTGTACGTGTGTGTAAGGACGTTGTATATCACTTCGTGTATAAAAGTATAAAAAAATGTCATCATCGTACTTGCGTGTACAATGTAACGCGGTTTTTGGCTTGCCTTGGCACTGAGAATCTCGGTCGAATCAGGGACACATTTCAAGACGAAGCTCGAGAATCTTACAAATTCCTAAAATTTTATCCCCCAATCCTCGTGCTCTCTAATGTCGTCGACCTACTGTGTGGCGACTAAATAGCTCTCAGGCTAAACACGGTATTTATACACGCGGTCGCGCGGGCCGCTCCATTCAAAGGCCAAACTACCGAGCTTTCACGCACGCGCGGGCTCGTGCCTCATATCCAGTTAAATATATGTATGTATCATTTACATATATGTACTAAATACATACATATGTGTATTATACATGGTATACACATCGCGCTCAGTAGCTCAAACAAACACATATTTGACATTGATATACGAAATCCATTAGAGCCTGCACATAACGCAGAAGCAACAGCGGCGGGGGCGGCAACTAGCTAGTAGTAGCTATAGCTACAATCTTGGTAGGCAACGTATGTGTGCATGTGTATATCGGGGCCAGGGTGGAGCGGCGGGGGAGGAGGAGGCAAGCAGCGTCCATTCACTGGCAAGAGCAAACAATTAAACCGCACCTCGTCATATACGTCGGGACCGCGCGCTGCTAGAGAGAGAGAGAGAGAGAGAGAGAGAGAGAGAGAGAGTGAGTGCAGTATATATATAGCCTACTACTACTAGTACTATTGCTGCTGCAAGCACGAGGCATCCCGCTAAATCCCAAGCTCGATCCAAGCGCGCGCTCGGCGCTCCTGCAAAGATCCTGCAGCCGAATTCTGCCCGTACAACAGGCATACACACACGTGTACATCTATGAACAGCTAGAGGCAAGTATATAGCATTCAGCGGAGCACAGTGTACACGCGCTGCTGCTACTACTACTACTACTACTACTACTACTACTGGCAGCCGAGACTCGACGTAATATCTTGCGTTATTAAACGGCATGCCATACCACGTCATATCTCTCCCATGCCCATGCGCTCCCTCTTAAACTATCTAACCATCTCTCTGTCTTTACTAATGACGAGCACTGCCGCGCCGTCGCCGCGCTGAGAGCGCAGTGCATAATGGTACACTTGCATCATGCCTGCAGACCCACCCTCTTACCCCGTAGTTGCTTCTCTACAGCTACCACCCCCCCTTTTCTTTAGTTAGTGCATGTAGAGAGTAACATTATTGTGCAGCTCATATATATACGTAATATCTTGTAAATTTCAAAGTCTACATTATCACCCTCCCTTCCTCGGTATTTTGACGAAATTCATCGACTGAAAATTCTCCCTCCCTCTCCACCTCTCTGCTGTGTGTGTGTCGGATTCTGTAAGGTCGAAATATTCAAACAATATATGTATACAGAGCACGAAAGAGAGAGAGAGAGAGAGAGAGAGAGAGAGAGAGTGAGAGAGGGAGTTGGAGTGCACTCGCGAGAATATACATTCCCTCTCTCGTTCTCGATCCATATACAGGTATATATCTCGCTTCGACTGTTCGAGCCGTTGCTACCGCCGCCGTCGCCGCGCGTCGGACTCTCTCACTGCTGGCAGTGCGATATAATTGAGCCTCGGTATGTGCCTACCCTGGCCTTTCTCGCGAACTTCCTGATACGGCTGTGCAGCAGAGAAACTACCACCACTAGACTCGTATATACACGATCCGCTTGGTCAGAGAGACAGAGAGGCGTGTGCGGGGATTTGCTGCACCGGCAGCAGCAGCAGCAGCAGCAGCGGTGTATAGGATCGATATGCGCGCCGCTGCGGCCGACTATTCCTGGCATGCCGTTGCTGCCTAGACTACTACTGCCCCGAGACTACTATCTACTAGTACCGCTGCCTGTGCAACTACCACTACTTTGCTGCTGCTGCTACCCCTCCGAAGGTATATAGGAATAAGTGTGTGAGTGTGTGAGTGTATGAGAAACGATCCGATGTAGAGCATCGGACCTTTCGCGGTGATATAGGTAGCAGCAGCAGCCCCGACTGTCCGCTTCGCGAGAGTCAGAGTCGTAATTTAATAATAGATATTTGAGAGTCTTCGAGGCTCCTCCCGTATACGTACGTTGCCTCGAGGATTTTCGTGCTAGATTTTACCAAACTACTACTACTATAAGCCCTCGATAAAAGCCTTAATATTTTCTCGTGTGTGCGGCAGCGTTCTCGTGAATATACGCGCGCTCGGCCTTTTATACCTGTCTATTAGTATTATTCCCCGTAATCAGATTTGTTAACACTGTCATAAAGAGAGGTACAACGTCGTATCGCAGCGCAAAGAGGTTGGAGAGAACTTTTGGTAACTGCCCCCGGGATAAGAGAGCTAGGACAGAAAGAGAGAGATAGAATGAGAGAAAAGCAAAAAGAAAACAACAAGTACAATCTAACACGTCTGGAGTAATAGTAGTTAGCCAACTTTTCCGGTTAGAAATTGCTTCTGCCCTTTGCGCGCACGCGCTTTGTATATACAATACAGACACAAGTTTTAACATTTTAAGACGCCTAATCAGCACCGTAAAGTCTGCTCAGGTAAAAGCTGTAGCAGAAGGTACGTTGGTACGTGTAGCCTTAACGATATGGAAAAAAATAAGACGGAGTAAATGAGGTAAAGACAGAGGAGAAGGATAGAGAATAGAGAGCGAGGAGAAAGGAAAGGAGGAGTTTACATAATCGTAGCCGGGGCTTTTGGCCCCGCGGGCACAAGTCACTATATACAGTGCGCAATAATAATAAAACCATTATCACCGGTTCCTTGTACCGTATACTGTGAGGCATGTACGATTTCGATTTCTGTTTTCAACGCAGTGAGATTTTAGCCTGAATTTCTATTTCCATATTGCTATCGAATTTCGACCTTTCGTTTCTCGTATCATTACACAGTGCTACGATAGGTAAACGTTAAATAATTCTTCCACGTTCATTCGTTTCGATTCCCTTTTTTGTTTGCTTGCAGCTTGTTTGTGCAGTTTTGAATGTATATACCCAGGAAGTTGTGTCTGAATGCGGATCGCGAGCACGTCGTTATATATATATATAGATATAGATATTTTTTGGAGCACCCGCTTATATTTTTTTCACAATATATAAAAGGGATCTGGCGTATAAATGCTTTCACCGGGGAGGTATAGGATTGGTTGCGAAATTTACGTGAAAAATTGATTCCAATCGGATGTGTAATGACAGACACGGGCTATCAATCCACTGTCGGTGCTTGTTTTATCATTTATTTCAAGATTTTCTCGTATAATACGTATAGTAGTATGCGTCGAAGCTGCGCACTGAATAGCGCAACGCGGAAAATTATCCAGCCCGAATGGAATTTTTTTTGTTATCTCGTGCTCACAGCGTAAACTCGAGTCTTTGACATTCTCAATAATCCAGCGAGCCGCGAGAGGAGTAACTTTTCGGTCTAGACAATGGGCATTATAAATACAAGAGCTGGAAAAGAGAGAAAGAAAGAGAGAACGGAGAAAACCAGATGCTAGCTGCTAGCGCGGGAAAACAGCAGTAGTCGGGTTATACGCGGTAAAAGAAGGAGAAGAAGCAGAAGCAGAAGAAGAAGAAGAAGAAGAAGAAGAAGAAAACAATAGCAATTCTCCACCCGTCTGCATCAATAATGAAAATGTTAACGATTATCCCTCTTGCGAAAGTTGCTCTTATTGTTGTTGCAATTTCCAAGGTGTATATAGACATGTACGCACATCCGCGGGAGTGAGATCTTACAATACCCCCGCGCGTGCGATATTACATTCCTCGGCGCATGTGTGTACTCTGCAATGCCGACTTTTCGGGCGTTAGCTTAGATATCTGCATAATAGACAACGAAACTCGACTGACTCGCTCCGCGACTGTA